AGAAGAAACACTCACTACTGTGCTCGGGAACTTTTAGAACCTAGAGAAAGAGAGTATTGAAGAAAAAATCTCAAAAGAGGGCAGGGCTCAACGAGGTAGCCGGAGATAAGATTGAAAATTCACAACTCTGTTCATAAATATTGGGTCCGGAGAGAAATGATAGAAAGCTATCGGAGGAATTTGGTCAAGCAACATAATTCAGATCCGCACCACCAACTTTCATTCTGAATCTAGATAAATCTCGCAATCCGTAATCCATAATCTTTCAGTGTCCTACCGTACAACTAACAAGGGAAGGATCTCAAGTCGAAGTGGCCATTTGAAATGAGACCTACACTGTTAAATGTATTTTTTGATGCTGATTTCAAATCTGCTTTGAAAATCTGCCAAACGATTCTCTGAAGTGGTCTCTCGAGAGCACTCAACAGGGGGTACGCACAAAAGACATGGTCGCCGGCATCTCATTAGTGGCGGCTTGAAGTAGAGGTAAGCGTGACGTCTCATAGGCATGGGACCAAGGTTCGGGTTTGATGTGCGACCGCGTTTTTGCATTTTGCGGACTTTTTCCTCTAGGTTGTAAAAATCTTTTCATGTTAGTTTTATCGTCTTGGGCAACTTTTTGAATGCTCGAGGTGACTAAGTTCCTGCTTAAACCATCTGACATATACTCCAATCACCAACAGGACAACAATTCCATTCTTATGCATTTCACATTCACAGTAGTATAACTTTCAACCATTGTGAGCAAATAAGATAATTTAGCACGAAATGATTAAAACATTCACAATGAGGTGAGAGCAACGAGTGGGAAAAGTTCCACCGCAGGCTGTTCCTTCACCATCACTCACTACACCAGAGGGAAAACAGATCTGTGCAGGTGTCCCAAAATCACCTGGATATGTGCTCAAAAAGCCAGCAGCGTGTCATGAGTAAGAGACAAACTTCTAAAACCTGGAAGCACAGATGTGAAAGTGCACAAGTGACAGTATCCGGAAAATATAATCGCAAGTATCCACGCAATTTTGAAATCATGACGATTCGTTTGCTGCTTCACCTCGAGCATTCAAAAAGTTGCCGAAGGCGGTGAAACTAATATAAAAAGATTTTACAACCTGGAGGGAAAAGTCCTGCAAAATGCAAAAACGCTGTCGCCCATCAAACCCGAATCTTCGTACCATGGCTATGAAGTGTCACGCTTACCTCTACTCCAAGCCTCCACTTCTGGGATGCCGGCGACCATGTCTTTTGTGCGTGCCCCCTGGTGAGCGCTCTCGGGGGACCACCTCCATAACTTCGTTCAGAGAATCGTTTGGCAGATTTTGAATGCAAATTTGAAATCCGCACCAAAAAATACGTGTAACCTGTAGTTGTCATTTCAAATGGCCACTTCGACTTGGGATCCTTCCCTTGTAAGCTGCACATACAAGTATAGACCAAAAGTTTTTGTTTGTATATTTATTATCTATGTATATTTGTGTATATGCTTGAGCTATATTCGCTATTACCTTTTAAAACCCAGTAGAAGTCGCGGCAGGTTCGGAGTGGTCAAGATAGAGTCAAGAGAGCACATATGAGCTTAGCGAAGTTTCTCCCACTGTTGCGGGACTACCGCTGAAATGGACGGCCGCGCCAATGACAAATCTTGGGATGGCACATGGGAGGGCTAGACTCAAAACTTGGCCAAAATACAGGCGGCAATATAGGATTAGCAATGGTACTCTTCCGCGCTGTACCCCGCCATCGGGGTTTCTATTCCCTTGAGCGTAGAGGGTTCAATTCTGGAATGGATACAGGTGGCAAGATGGGAACACTGGTGGTTGAGGGTTGGGCTAGACTTTGTGTAAGAGAGACAGTGTGTTTGCGAAATCAACGTTACTCAAGTGAAAATTGCAGCAATGTTTATGCAGGATTCCGTGAAAGCGAATTTAAGTGAAAGTACGTATTGGGAAGAGGACATGGAAATAGCTGAAGTTGTGAACACATCTGTTCACAGTGAGATGGTTAGGCCTCGGAGTGGGAAGAACTGCAAAAAATGGTTAGAAGCGGCAGGAAGAAAACAAGGAAATGTCAAACTTTGTTATNAGCAGATTAGCACCAAGATGAAGAGGCTTCGACCAAGGATCTCTTTCACGGTGCACGAGTGTTTTCATCGTTCGTGGTTAGAGGGGAGGAGAACGGATGGCGGATCGGAAGTTCGTAAATCTCTGTTTGGGTTGAAAACATCCTAGAGAGTGAAAGAGGTGTGGAAAGAATTGGCCAAGTAACAGATATCAAGTTTCTATGGTAGGTGAAGCGAGCACGCAGAGAGGAAGGGGTACGCGATGTTATCCTTTCAGAAGCAGAACGTTTTCAAACGTTCTCGTGCAGCCAACCAGGTGAAAAAGAACCATGCCTCTCGAACACATGACTGCTCACTCCGCTCGCTGTAGGTAGTTTGAGGTGAGCTTTTCCAGGAGAAATACGTTTTTGCCTAACGCTTTGAGCGGCTAGAATCGTGGAGGTGACAGGATCAACAGCGCAAGTGAGGAAAGCTACCATTTCAGAAGGACTAAACTAGGGATAACTGGGACTTACCATTGGGAGAAGTGCTTCGTCAGGAACATTCTAGAATCGAAAAGTTGTGAAAAGTGTCACCAAAGGTTAACAAGTAACACTTATGATAGGTGGAGTGGGCGCCGAAGAGGGTGTAGTTTAGACCAAAGATTTGAATATTAATTCAGAAAGGTTTCAGACTGCTAAAAAAAGTGGGTAGTGGCCATAGGAAGTTATAAAAAGGTAGGTAAAGGATAGCAAAAGCGCATTGGTCAAACTACTCGGTTCTCGAGCCTAGTAATAGTGCGGGTAATCTCAAACCTGGTCGGCTTCGAGATCCCGGCAGAGTGAATGAGTTAATTGGGTGCTTGGAAATAACAAGAAATTTCTTGACGTTCATCCCCTTTTGTGGGTCAAGAACTCATTGATAGCTTTACTTTAGCTTAGACAATCGTGTTCTCGAGGTGATTCGATGAAATGGGGCTTCCTCTTTTCGTCATCATTAAGCTGTTGAATAAATTGACTTATTCACTGGCAGTATCATTTTTGAACATAGGCAAAGTGACCTTCTCCGAACAAATTAATGGAAAATTGGGCATTTCTGACATGGAACTTGCTGATGCTCTACAAACTGCGGTCCGAACAGGGCACAGTTTCTATACTGAGACTTTTCTGAAGTGCCAGGAACGTGAGATTTGGCGAAATTCATAGGTGGCTGCATCGGTGTTGGGCGCAGTGTATAAGGATTACCTGCTTTCTATGTATAACATCAAGATAGCGCTACTTCACTTATACAGGTCATGAAAATTCAGGAGGAAGAAAAAACGCCTTTTGATTCTAACGTCATACACCCAGTGACGAGAAAGAATATGGCAAGTTTTAAATTGCTGGTGACTCCGAAACAAAGAAGCCACCTGCAATATTTATTCCCTCCTACTGAGTGTAAGATGACAACAATTGAAGTAGCTCATATCGTCATACCATTTGTATGTTGCATGGATGCTCTGCTAATGATCTCTCTCCACTTCTAATTTTCTTCTGCAGCTCGCGTTGCTTCTCAGCCTTTTTCCTCTGACCTGTTTTCTTTTTCGGCATGGTTCACACGCAAAACTGAAAAGAGAATTTTTCGTGCAAATAAAACACTGCGTTATTTCTCTGCATTAGGCAAATATGAGCCACAACCAGTGAATACTTCGTGATAAAGATTATTTTCTCTCCTTAGACATAGCACTCTCCTGCACAAATGGACACGGATATTCCTCCCATAGATAAATAGATAATAAAGTGCCGTCCAATGGAGTATGCGTTTCCACTTTCCAAACATGAGTTACTACATGTGAGACGGAACGACTGATCGAATTTCTTAACGGCATAAGGAAGGAGCAGAGTTGTTCATTACCTTCACAGGCTTTTGTGAAGATAAGGAGACTGAGCTTGATGATCTTTGCATGATGTCCACGAGTCCACTTCAGCAAAGCTGGCGTTGGCGAACCGTAATCGCTACGCACGATCGCACCCACTCTAGCATCAACTGTTTGCCCATCATATGCGTTTTACTAGCCCTGACCTTCAAATATCGCGCAAGAAAGAATCTCCTAGTTGCCAGTAGTTCCCTACCAGAGTTAGATTGAGAAACATGTCAATGGCAATAAATTTTTAGAGTAAACCTGGATCACCATCAGGACCTCCTCACCTAGGTGGGCATCAGCGAAAAGCAGGCATAACGGTGAACCGGTCGACCATGACAGAGAAAGGCTGCACGACCCTTCCTACTCTCCTTGAGCCTTTTGCTGCTAGCGATCTCCGAGAGTGCATTTCTTTTAGAGACCCCCTTCTGTCGCGATGCACACTGCTTTGAATGGCCATTATTCCATTTCTAGAAATCCGCAGTGTTGATGCAACAATGTGCAACAAATCGGAGACAACTCCCGAGAAATATGTCGATAGTCTTACTCCTACCTTTCCGCACTTACCTACAAAGTTTCGTATTTCCATACAAATACACTTTCTGTCTATGAGACTTTTTCTAGAGCAGAAGCTGCTGATACGTCTCGGAGCCAGTACACATATTCTTTTAAAATGTTGAATCCGTCGGTGTCCAGCTTCAAAATCCGCTGTTAGCGACCTCTCCTTGTCACTTCTCGAAGCCATTTGACGCATATCGCAGTCGTGCAACGTCACCCCACGTCAATCTTTGAGATTACTTCTTACTTCAGAAGGTCCAACCTTCACAGAGTTGCCACAAGACTTTCGCTAACCTTACCTATTCCAAGACGCTCATAAATGCCCATGCTGAAGACGAAACGCTTCTACTGCTATACCTCGTCTTCCCTCTCAATTCGCCTTCATTTTGAAAGGTGGTAATTGCTTCGTGCGAAGCGAAAATAGAAGTCCACATACGATAGCGAACGGCTTCCTTTTGCGCCCAAGCGGTGAGACGTGATGGCGCTATCCGCCTGAATTACGGTTGAGTCGCCCTACAGGTAACTATTTCGGAAAATAAAAATACCTGTTCTTTCGAGACTTCTATGCAACAAAATTCGAAATGCCCGCTGGACGAGCCTGGTGTTTCTTAACCGTTAAGTTCCCATTGAACAGGACATATAGTTCTGTTCGGTGGGAACTATGAAGTGCCTCACCTACCCATCTGTTTTACACTTTTGCCACTTCTGCCATGCGGCAGTCCCATCATTTGATTGATAGCATCAGTTACAAAAAATTTTAAGAAGGAAAGGTATTAGTAAAAGCATCAAAAGGTCGTAGAACGCAATAAAATATCATAAAAGGAATTCCTATGTCTTAAGAAAAAGCTCTATATATAAAGCGCTAACTTGGCGAGTCTGTTCGTATGTCAGTTTGTGCTTCCATCTGCAGAAAGTCTCGTTGGCGCGGTGAGGATTGTGATATGTCACGCGGAAACATGGGTGAGTAACATGTTCCGAGGAAATCTATCGATACTTTTGATTTCCATGTTCGGTCTTCTTAAAACCTGGGCATGTCTCATAATGTTTTGACGTTGTTTTGCCGTACAGCTTCGTTAAGATGAAACCGCTTTATTAGATTGACGTTTCGATCAACTTGTCGTCTTCAAGGACTGAAAAGCAGTTCGGAGCTCCTAACCTGTGGCTTACCCGACCAAGCCCCCAAACGCGCCAGGCCAGCTGCAACAACTCCCAGAAATGGAACACCGAAAGATCCCAGCGAAGAAAGAAAGATACCAATCTCCTGCGGTTTCACCAGCGTTGCCGTCCCACTCGATTCAGTGAGCAATAAGGGACTAATGAGACCTCATCGACGATCGTGAGATGAGAATTACGCGGTGATCTCAAAGCCCACATAAGGGGATGAATGGCAAAAGTTCACTCGTTATGGCAATGCACTCATTTCGGTTGTTCAGCTTAGGATTCTTTTGCTTCTTCATTCCCTTGTGGGCTTTGAGATCACCGCGCAATTCTTATCTAACGATCGTCGATGGTGTCTCATTAGTCCCTTATTGTTCACGGAAGCGAGTCGGACGGCAACGCTCGTGAAACTGCAGAAGGTTGGTTTTTCGCTGGGATCTTTCGGTGTTCACGTTTCTGGGAGTTGTTGCAACTGGCCTGGCGCGTTTGGGAGCTTGGTCGGGTAAGCCACAGGTTAGGAGCTCCGAACTACTTTCAGATCCTTGAAGACGACGAGTTGTTCGAAGCTTCAACCTAATGAAAAGTGCAAAAACATTAGGTGACATGCCGGGGTTTCAAGAAGACCGAACATGGAAACTATTACGCCACGTACCGCCGCATGTTTCGGTTTAGTTCGTGTAACTCTCGCACTTCGACATGAGATCGTAATCACCCGTCAACCGTCGACCGCCGCCTTCCCAAGATTCATCACGATTAAGATAGGATCAATATATAATCTCAGTAAAGATCACCCTAGAATCGCTAATATCTACCGTAGTATCCTAGGCGTCGCTGTCGCTGAAAGCACTACATATTGTATTTTACTTCACTGAAATGTAATGCGAAGGAGGAATCTTGTAGACGGCTATTGTCAGATCGTTGTTGAATGGCGATTGAACGCGGTTCGAAAGAAATCCGCGACAATATTCAATCCAGGGCAAAAACAACTGGTGCTAGGTACGACACCCTGAGGAGCGAGCAACACGTAAATGGTTCCAGCAGTGGGACCAGCTCTCCTACGAATCACTAGAACGGAGCAATGCCCACTCAAGGAGTGAATAAGTCGCAAAATCAGGCAAGAGTTACTGTTATTGACAGTGCATCGTTATAAGAGAAAGCTGTGGATTTCCTAAGTCTTGGAGCATCATTCTCAACTGCCCAAGGGATTGGACCTTCCACATATCGGCAGGCGGTAACAGGGCTTCAACGATTGGGAGATCGGCTTAGAACCAGTGCAATGCGCAAAGAGCACCAGCGTGCTAGCACAGAATCTATGATATCGCCTATCCCTTCCTGTGTTCGTTCTGTAGAGGACCAGAACCCTCTCCCATACAAGACACGAAATTCGAGCACATCCGTCAGGAATATTCGAAACTTTCAGAAAACATGAGCGCGAAAGGTTCCCGAACATGACGAATGCACAATGGGAAGGATTGCGAGAGATACGGAAACGTGTAGCAGATGGTGAAATCTGTCTTTCCGTGAGTGACAAGGGAGGAGAATTTGTGGTTTTACCACGCTCTCTAGATCGGGAAATCACAAAACTTCACCTAGGTGATACTCCGTGTACATTCACTTCACGGAAAAGACGTTCCACACCAAATGTCACAAGCTGAACACTCTGTGGGTATCAATAGGAACGATAACGAAATCGGATAGCAGTATAGAAATCGGGTTGTCCTAACCGTACGAATCCGATAGAATAGCATTAGAATAGCCAGTATTCGCCCTCAACATGCTGCCTTGCGGTTGTCTGTGAATTTCTTCTACCAAGTTCCAATCCGGAACCACAAGTACAAAACTTCTTCACGTCCCTCAAACTTGGGTAATTAAACCATCAATACAAAATGTATACGTCAATATGACAGAACAATATGACACTGCCAGAAAATGCCATCCAGAGAACTTATGTATGATCATATGGTTAAAGGTAGAGATAGAAGTGAGATTGTTATCAGATAACTGAGGCAAAGAATACAAATAAACAAGGGCGTATGGGGTTATGTTGAAAATATTGAGGTTAACAAGTTTATTACATAGTATTGCTACAAAAGAAAATAGTAAGTAGAAGTGAGGTAAGTTGAAGTAATGGCAGCGGGATGAGTGCGTCGACGTCTAGGAGATGCTATCCGTTCTGTGGGAACCGAGTTGCAAAATACTCCGTGGAGCAGCTACATATACGCGGGCCTTTTAATCCCTGTGTCTGGGTTCGTACGCAGAACCATCGGAATCGCGATTATTCGCGATACTCCCCCCTGCCAGGCAAAAGGGAAGGAAATGATTGTGACAACTGAGATCATGGGAAGTTATGTGATTGACATGATCAGTCAGAGGTACCGTAACGATCTAGTGTGTAATCAACTGTAAACGACCAAGTATATGGAGTTGCTGATAAGTGGGTCATTTGTGGTCACCCGATACTACCTTTTCTGCTACCAGTTGAATCCTCGAGGTCAAGGGTTGCTCGATCTTGAGCTCGTATTCCCTTATCCTTCGGACTAGCTCCTCGATATCCTTCGCAATTTGCTCTGCACGTTCGGGTTCCTCGCACAAGGCGATGTGGTGACTTCGTTCGCCACAGTGTCTGCATTGTTGACCTTCTCGGGGACATCATCCTTGGTGGTCCAGTGGCAACAGACAAATGTCACATTGTCGTTTCGCATTAGTCGTCGGCATGCCCTTGCGTCTCCATACTCTGAACATGAGTCTGAGAAGCGGCAAGACAGAATGCGCAAGGAAGATTCTGCTGTGTTGGTCGGGTACTCAGGAACCTGCGCCTACACGAGTCTTGTTTCTTCTCAACTGACTGACTTGTTGCTCAGCTCTAGCCTTCATTCTCTTGTTTCCTACAGTTCAAGCTCCAAACCGGCAACTTTGTCCTCCTGAGAGTCCTTGCATGATGTGGGCTGTCGAAAGCGTAGGATGTCTAAGCGCCTGTGAAAAGCGTTTCGTGAGGCTTCAGCGTCTGCATTTTCAGGAGTATCAACACTTTCCACTTCATCCAGAACAACTAGATCTTCGTCGTACAACCATGGTCGACTACCATTTAATCTTGGCACAGTATAGATGTAACTTTGGAGGTCTCTCTGAAGCGACGACCAAGAGGATACAAAATTTTATTCGGTTAACGTTTCGGCCAATCCCTTCGTCAGAGCCTGGGAGCCAAAAAATATTTGACTCATCCTGACCAAACGACGTTCAGACCTCAACTTAGTTCAGGTGTGGCTTATAGATATCTAGGAAAGTATTGTAAATCACTCTCTTTGAATTGTATATTTATACTATTCACAGTGGGTGGGCCCGAGTGTCCTGACTCCCTACCTCGAACGCCGGTGGCAGTTGAAAACCACACAGGTCGAGGAACGGGGGTAGCGCGTTAGTTACGGCCAGACATTCATCCTTCCGATTCACTTTTGGATTTTTGGCGCTGATCCAAAAAGCTTCAAAAGTCTTCCGCGCCGAGGTCGTACTGCTGATTAGGCAGTCTTGTCTCTAATTCTTCGTCATCAATGTTTATAACTTCCATGAACCCCACGTTTTCGTGTATTGTTATCTTTCCGGCTTCTTGAATGTTCTCGTCAGTGTTCCTCTACTACTAATACGTCTGTATCTTTCGTTTTGTCCGATGTTCCTGTGGGTGTTTCTGCAAGCTGTTGACATTACGCTCTCGCGTATGAAGTTCCTTTGTTAGCAACTTATGGTAGACTGCGTTCGAAGTTGCTAAAACCTCTTGTTCGAACCTTGTTCCTTCGGCGAACCCTGTTCCTCTTGGCTTCCGCGAAAGTTGCCATAGTATGGTGCGTTTTCACCTGCCATGGTTTGTCGAATACCTGCGAGCTGGGTGCCGTAGTTGCCGATGAAAAGCTGTCGAACTCTCCACTAATGCACGTTCTTCGATCAGCGCAGAGTGCAACCTTTCCTGCTTTTGAACCAATTCTTCTATCCGGCTTTCCAGCTGTCTGCAGTGATTATCAGATTCAGCACACTGCGTCCTCATTGTTTTCTCTATTCTACTTACTTTCACCACTTCATCTTCTAGCCCTGCAAATATACCATCTTTCTGTTTTATCCCTCTCATTAACGATTCTAGTTCAGATGCTTCCTCTTTCAAAACATTTTGAGCCCCATCAGCACGCAGAGATTCGCTTGTGGCAAGTTGAGACAGTCGTTCAACCTCATCAAGTCGATCTCTGAGCTGTTCCTCTGGTAAAATGATACGATGGCGAATACCATTAGGATGTAACTCTCCATCTTCATCTGTTCCACATTTGTTCTCCTCTTGCAATGATATCAGCACGTCTGCACCATCAAGCTTAGACTGTCGCTCAGCAACCTCAAACTTGAGTAATTAAACCAGCAATACAAAATGTATACGTCAACAATGCCAGAACTATGTGACGCTGCCATAAAATATGTCATCCCGAGAAATTATGTATGATGATGTGGCTAAAGGTAGAGATAGAAGTGAGAGCGATACGATCACTGAGGCAAAGAATACAAATAAAGAAAGGCATATGAGGTTATGCTGAAGATATTGAGGTTAACAAGTTCATTACATAATATTAATACAAAAGAAAATAGTAAGTAGAAAGGAAGTAAGTTGAAGTAATGTCAGCGGGATGAGTGCTCGACGTCTAGGATAGGACTGGCTATTCGTTGTGTGGGAGCCGAATTGCGAAATACTCTGCAGAGCCACAATATTCGCGGGACTTTTAAATCCCAGTGTCGCGTTGTTGGTTCGCACGCAGAACCATACGGATTCACGAATATTCGTGATAAGGATGTTGATAGAAACATTGAAGTTGGATACACCCTCGTGCCCGGTTTTCTATAGCCTGATCAAGACTTATAAATTGTCCGACGGAGGCGAAAACTCAGCTAATGCTAGCGATTATGACCCATCATCAACTGTGTAGGAGGACCAATGGACCGTATTTTTTGTTCCTCAATAATAGTCTCGGTCAACTTCTCCGATACGTGCCCTCTTATCTACCAAACATCAACGAATTTCTTGATCGCCTGCGTCCATGTAGGTTTCGAGAAAGCTGCGTAGTAGAGTAGTTTGATGTAGTTGCGCTTTATACGAACATTGACAACAGCGAAGCTCTCCAAGCGGTTTCAGATGTGCTGGACGAGCATNAAAACTCAGCTAATGCTAGCGATTATAAAATAAGACCCATCATCAACTGTGTAGGAGGACCAATGGACCGTATTTTTTGTTCCTCAATAATAGTCTCGGTCAACTTCTCCGATACGTGCCCTCTTATCTACCAAACATCAACGAATTTCTTGATCGCCTGCGTCCATGTAGGTTTCGAGAAAGCTGCGTAGTAGAGTAGCTTGATGTAGTTGCGCTCTATACGAACATTGACAACAGCGAAGCTCTCCAAGCGGTTTCAGATGTGCTGGACGAGCATAAAACAGAAACTGTAACGTTCGGATTGAGCAAGGTACACATTATGACTCTTATCAAGGAATGTCTTAATTGTAGTATTTTCAAGTGGAGCGGGCATTACTTCTCGCAAAACCGAGGGCTTGCTATGGGTCAGCGGTTAGGTTTTGCTATCTGTTTTATGAGCAGAGTAGAAAGACCAGTCATAGCGCAAATGCCCACTATGTACTGTCGGTGCATCAATGACTGCTGCGTAGTTACATCAACGCAGCAAGAGATGGTTGAGTTGTTTGACATCCTCAACCGACAGTCTCAGTACAATAAATTCACGAAAGAGGTTCCGCACTGAGGCTGGATTCCTTATCTTAACAGATAAATGGAAGGTACAATGTGAAGTGGTATCGGAAGAACAGCTCTAAGAACATTTTACTCCACGCAAGGTCTGCACACCGCGAAGCTGTTAAACGTGCAGTTACTCGTAACATGTACAGAACAACTACAGTAGTGTGCACAGGCGAAGTGTAATGCGAAGAGTCGCGTAAACTAGCAGCTGAGATTGCAAGCTTGAATTGTTACGGGACATAACGCAGAAGATCAGGCTCAAAAGCGTTGAGAAACCGTGAGGACATGGCGCATCTCCGGCTTCCATTTATATGTGACAAAGTGGGCGCAGAAATCCGACAGTGCATTGCACGAGCGGATTTGGCGAATGATGTTGTCTTGGTAAACCTACCAGCGACAATATCAAACGTCGCCTAATCAGAATTAGGCTTTATGATCGTAGGTGCACGACAGATAACTGCGTTATTTGTCAGTCTGGAAGAGGTGGAGATTGCTCACAGCGAGGAACGGTGTACCAACTTCAGTGTTCCAACACTGTATCCTCCGAATCGATATTTACTTGCGTGCATTCTTTTGACATGGCTTTCGGCTTACTGGCGCTAATTCGTAATGCAATCATGCTCGCACCTTCATTAAGAGTTTCGGTGACCTTCTGCAATCCGCCTTTGTCTTCAGCAATAAGTGCGATGTCATCCGCAAAGTCCAGATCAGTGAGCCTTTCATCGTTAAACTAGCGTACGCCTACCGTCGTTTGCTCTGTTGTTTTCCTCATGACAGAATCTAGGCAGATGTTGAACAGCAATGGCGAAAGGATGCACCCTTGCCGTACTCCCGTAACGATTCTCAAGAGAGAGACATTATCTGTATCCGTCTTTACAGAACATGAAGAGTTACAGATTCTTGAATGAGCGAATAAAAGGCCTCCATGCCGTACATTTTGAGTATTTCCCATAATGATTCATGGTGCACGCTATCGAATGCCTTTCTGAAGTCCACGACATTGATGAAGAGTGGATGCACAAACCCAATGCATTGCTCGACAATGTCACGAAGAGTAAATAATTACTAACAACACGATCTTCCTTTTCTAAAGCTAGCCTGTTTTCTCTTAGTTGGCAACCCATTGCATTACGGAGTCGTCGCACCAATATAGCGCAAAATGCTTTTCCAGGAACCGAAACAAGTGAAATACCTCCCAAAGTTTCACAATCCGTTAAATTTCCCTTTTTAGGTAGCTTCACCGGGATCTCGCCTATGCCAGAGGCTCTCACGTTGCGAAGGCATCGAATTGCTTCGATTGCCTCTTTTGGGGTTATTCTGCCAACACTGACATTAAGCTCATTAGCTGGCTCCATTTCCTCGAAACATTAGGTCCTCTATGGTTCAGGCTGATTAAGGACGTTCCAAAAGTGTTCGAGCCATCTTTCTTTCTGTTCTACGCTGATTGAGAAATCGAGCAAATGATTTGCATTATTCCGCGTTGTCTTTTCTGCAGGCTAACTGCCGTGTACCAAGCGTCAGTCGCTCACCTCAATGGCTACTTTCAGAGTTCGACGACCGTCCGACCGTCCGACGCGTGCGTGCTGCGACGGCGGCGCCTGACCATTGTTGACAACACTAGATCACGTGCCAGCACTGTCCGCACAACCCTAGCGACCGCCGTCGGAGCACACACGCGTGGGACGGTCGGACGGACGGAAGGACGGACAGACGGTCGTCGAACTCTGAAAGTAGCCAATGACAACTGCGACACCTTTCAAAAATCGCAGGCTGACGTGCCGCGTGCGGCGGTTGCGGCGTGACCTAGTTTCGACGAACGCGCGAAACGAAGCGCATCCCAGCTCAAGTAATCCTTGCCGTTTGCCGACAATTTGCCGCGCGCAGTTCGAATCGCACGAATGTACACACACCCGGTCCTCCATGATGCAGAAATTTCGCCCTCCACAGATCCTGGACCATAGTCTCTCGCACATAGAGCGTCACGCTTACCATTCATGCAAGCCACCGCTGATGAATATCGCACATTCATCTAATTCGTGTTCCCCTGCGTTAAGCTCACCATAATATCACCCTCACAACTCCATTTATAGAATCGTTCGATAGATTTGCAAAACAGATTTAAGATCACCACCCGAAAGCTCGTCTAGCATCTAGGTCTCGTTCACTTCGATTTGGG